GGATTTGATGAGCTTAAAGAGGAGAGATGCATGAAATTTGATATAAAATACGTGAAATAGATCAATAGCATACTGGGACTGGAGCTGTAGCTCAGTGGTAAAGCACTTGACTTGCATGTGTGAGGCACTGGGTTCGATCCTCAGTACCACATAAAAATAAAGATATTGTGTGTCTATTTACAACTAAAAAAATAATAATAAACAGGATTAAAAAATAATAAAAAACAGGATTAATGGCATATTAGATAATATAGAAGACAGCAATATTAATTACTTGAAGACAGTATAACCGCCAACATTTTCTTTTAAACACAGAAAACACCTTAAAAACAAATGAATAAGCATCTGTGTCTCATGGGACAATGCCAAGCAGTATATATGTAGAGCTGGAGTAATCGAAGGAGGAAATAATGGCTGAAATTTTCCGAATTTATTTAAAGTTATAAATCCACATATCCAAGAATTGTTTTTAAAAGAGAGAGAGAGAGAGAGAGAGAGAGAGAGAGAGAGAGAGAGAGAGAATCTTTTAATTTTTTTTTTTTTTTTAGTTTTCGGCGGACACAACATCTTTGTTTGTATGTGGCGCTGAGGATTGAACTCGGGCCGCAAGCATGCCAGGCGAGCGGGCTACCGCTTGAGCCATATCCCCAGACCCTATCCAAGAATTTAAACAAACTTCAAGTGTAAGAAACATAAATAAAACCACATCAAGACCCATCATAATTTTTTTATACACACAGATATTCAGCCTTCATACATTTGCTAGAATGGCTAAACCAATTATTTCAAGTGTTGACAAGGATCATCTAAGCAATCGGAACTCTCCAAACACTGCTGAGGGGAATGCAAATAGGAAATGACTTTTTTTTTTTAAAGTAGTTTGGCAGTTTCTTATGAAATCTGACATACATTTACCAAACAATCAAGCCGTTCCACTCATAGATATTTCCCCAAGAAGAATAAGAACATATGTCCATATAAAAACTTGTATGTGAATGTTCTTTGCAGCTTTATTCACAATAGTTGAAAATTGGAAACAACCCAAATGTCCATCAACTGATTCATGTATAAACAAAGTGTGTTGCATCCATAAAAATAGAATATTATTCATCAGTAAAAAGGAATGGATTGTTGAAACATGTGGATGAATCTAAAAAGCATTATGCTAAATGAAAAAAGTCACGTAGTAAAAACTGCATCCTATATAATTCCATTTATATAACACTCTGGAACAGGTGAAAATATATATGGAGAAATCAGATCAGTGGTTACCAACACAAAGGATTTTATTACAAAGAGGCCCAAAGAAACCTTCGGAGGTGACAGAAATACTCTATCATAGTTGTGGTGGAGGCTACATGACTATATATACATTATACATCATGGAATTATATGTTTACAACTGGAAAATTTTATTTTATGTAAATTATATCTTAATGAGGTTTGCAAAGAAGTAAAAAATAATGATTTTATGTTGAGGGCTGGATCAAACAAGCAAGTGGAAGTGTGTGTGGGTGGGTCACACTCCAAAAAAGGAACATCACTGCCATTGTAACTGTGACACAATGCAAAGATGTCATGGACTATGAGATAGATAACAATTTCAAAAATGTCAACAACATGAAAAAAGATGTGACTCAAACTCAGTCATACTCATCTCCATCCACACACCCATCCGTACACACATATGCTGCGTATGAAAATCTTCCTGGAATAAGGTCACTCACATTTAAAGAAGGTTCTAATTAGAGGGAGGATCTAAAGTCCTTTTAATACTTTTATATTTTCTATACTAAAATAATTCTTTATGGGGCTGGGGATGTGGCTCAAGCGGTAGCGCTCTCGCCTGGCATGCATGCGGCCCGGGTTCAATCCTCAGCACCACATACAAACAAAGACGTTGTGCCCACCTAAAATTAAAAAATAAATATCAAAAAATTCTCTCTCACTCCTTCTCTCTCTCTCTCTCTCTCTCTCTCTGTCTGTCTCTCTCTCTCTGTCTGTCTCTCACACTCTCTTTAAAAAAATATATATAAATAAATAAATAAAATAATTCTTTATAATAAATATGCATTTATAAAAACAAATCAATGCTTTTTATTTAATAAAAAAAAATGACCAAAAGTAAGTATGCCAAGTTGTTAGTAGTGAATGATTCTGGATGTGATGACCCTGAATGATTTTATTTCTCCTTTGTTCAATTCTGTATCTTAAACCATTTTCCAAAAAATAAAATAAAATAAAGCAAGATTAAAAAACAATAGGATGAATATCCTTAGACCTATGAACTTTCTTACCAACAGTGTGCCTCTTCTTAGGGTGAGCAGAATCCCTGGTATGTCTGGGACTGAAAGCCCTACATTCTGAGATGGTTGGATCCGGAATGTTCCCCAAAAGTTCATGTGTTGAGGGCTTGATCCCCAATGTAACAATATTCAGAGGTGGGACCTTTGGGAAATGATTAGATCACAAAGGCACTAAACTCATCCATGTATTTACTGATGGATTCATAGCTGAATGGACTACCATAAGGTGCTGGACACTGTAGGAGGTAAGACCTAGTTGAAGGGAGGAGGTTCTTGGGAGAGTGACCTTGGTGACTATATGTTATCCTCAGCCCCGCAAGCTCTGCTTCCAGGGCTGCCCTGAGGGCTGAAGTGTGCAGTTTTCCTCTACCACGCCCTTCCACTATGATATTCTGCCTTGCCTCATGTCCAAAGCAAGGAGTCAACTAAGCATGGACTGAAACATTTGAAACCATGAGCCAAAATGAATCTTTCCTCTGCTGTTTCTCTCAGGTATTTTGTCACAGTAACAAAAAGCTGACTAACACTGTCACTTTTCCTCCTTTGTGGTTCCAATGAGTTCTAAAGATTCTATAGCAATGGTACTCAATATTTTTTAGTGTGCCTAAGAATTCCCTGAGGAACTAGAGAGGCAAGAAGATTCCTGGGTTCCACTCCTGGATATTTCGGTTCAGTAGGTGTGGGGTGGGGCTCAGGAGAGTACATTTTTTAGCACCCCAGATAATGCCCATGCTCTGGCCTCACTGTGCCAGAGCTCCCTCAGCATGTCTTCCTGTTCTACTCTTCCATATCTGGAGTTAACTCAAACCCTGCCTAGCCTCTGTACCACCAGGAGGCACCACTTGGTAGCCCCAAAGGGATGTTACCTCTCCAAGTTTACTGCAAAGAATAAATGGAGGAAGAAACTCAGGGCATTCTATTCCCTCGGGCCACGGAAATGCTGACAGCCCAACTCAGAGCAAACTCACACGTCAGACCCCATGAACACTTGTTCTTCTAAACAGAGTTTAAACTTTAGAAACAGATAAGGGGAAAGCCTTTCCATCATACAGCAAGGACACATAGATTCCTCCAATTCTTTCCCATTCACCTAAAATCATTTAGTACCCCTCAAAATTGTCCCTGGGTTACTGGGTAATCACACTCCCATGACTGTCCTGGGCACAGGAAAGGAATGCATACACCTTTCCTTCTATGGATCTATCTACCATTAGTTCATTCCAGCCAGCCTTCAGAGGGTGACAGAAAGTTTTCCCTTTGTTGCTACGCAGCAAGCTCCCAAGGGACCTCACACTGCTGGTTCCCAGACCAAACTGAGGAGCAAGGAAAGTTGGTCCTAGGCCTCTACTTGCCTATATAAAATAGAAGGAAAATGAGCATTTGTTCCTACCACAGGGCTTAAAGTTCTGTGCTATTTTTTCCTGAGGTTTGCAGGAAATGTGTGGTATACTCTCCACCCCTGAAAGGGGGTGAGTCAGCAAGTTGTAACGCCAAATCCCTTTTCATTGTAAATTCTTGTTTCTGCTGTTTACAGAACTGCAAACCATTGGAGTTAAATTCTAAGCAGAAGATCTTGATATATATGTATTTAAAAAGTACATGTGTAGGAAGGGAAGTGCTTGAAGAAGTCAAGAAAATGATTTTAATTATAAAATGAGTAGGGGTTTAACATGAGAAAATGCAAGCTCGCTAGCTTTGGAAGGGGACCTTTTACACAATCAAATCAGAAAACTGTTGTAAGTGGCAGGAATGGATCTCTAAACTGGAGGAGTAGTGAGGAGACTAAAAGAGGCAGCTATGATAATGTCTTTACAGTCTCAAATTCAACTGAGCATAAAGTTTTGGAGGGTGAACAGCAGAAAGCAGTTTTACATTTACTTGTCCAAGATCCAGGATGAAATAACTGTCCTGTGTTGTTATTATTCGTATCCTCAAGCACTAAGAAGAACAGTAAGAACTCCTGGAATAAAAACTCAAAAAATGTTTGAAGGTACATATACTATGTTATTTAAAAAATCATGTCACATTAAATCCAGCACAGAAAAAAAATACTGGAAGAATGTATGGCAGAAAACCCACACTAACTGTCTCTGGATGGTGGGATTATGTGCACCTTTGCTTATTGCCTTTGACATTTTCTAAAACAAAAATGTATTGTTTTTATAATAAAAGTAACCCAAGTCAATTTTTAAAAGCAGCATGCTGAGAGAAACATATGCAACTTCACCTTTAAAGGAAAACTTCTTTCAAATGGCAATTCCTTTATGCATTTCCTTGGATTGTACGTTACCCAATCCTCTTATTGTTTTTTCTGGGTTCATATTAACATTAGGGCTCTGATTACACTTTAAAGTGTGAAATGACAGTTGAATGACTAGAATCTTTAATTTCCCAATCAATCCTCTGTAATCAGTATTTTCTACTTCACATATACCAATGGGCATTTATGAACCTTAAAATGCTCCCAGGATAAAATGAAGTCTTTGTCTGTCTACCAGAAGTCCTGTGTGCTCCTTCTGAGCCCCAGTGACAAGCCACTGTACCCATGAACTCTATAGGGGAAGAGTTGTCACTGTGATTTCTGTGCTGTGCTGTATAGCCTCAAAGGCTGATAATGCACAACAATCCTGAGATAGAAAGGCAAGCAGAGAACAATTACAGCACTATTACCCTCAGATACAACTCTGTAGATACCTTTAAGATCGTGATATTCCAGGTAAAGCTCTCCACTGCTTTCTGTAGTTTCCGTTCCTTCAGACCCTCCTTGGTGCCTATGCTGTGTAAGTGCTCATGGAATTCCATGGCTGAAAGAAATAAAAAAGACAAAGCGTATTACTTCGCCATCCAGTCTGTGGTAATGAACCAGCAATATTCATTTTTCTAGGCAGAGCTAAAACAATTTCAATTGCTAATAGCACTTAATAATCGTTCCCATGTAAGAATGTAGTAATAGGGAGGAAACACTGAAATGGTTCCAACAAGGTGGAAGGCATCTTAGAGTCAGTTCTGAAGGGCAGAAGGATACATGATTATTATTACAGGGTTGTAATTCAGAGAAGAGAGACATGGCTTCTGAGAGGAAGGTTGCCCAGGGAGAAGGAAGAAAAGCAGGGACTGGAACCCAGGTCTCTGAAATCTGAGAAGATAGATTTCAACTCTACTAAGAACATAATGCTGGCTACTGGGGATGCAAAGAATGCAAAGTCAGGAACTTCCCATCCCAGTGAGGGTCAATATGAGCTCAGATACCAAGCCTGTCATAAAGGGGAGAGGTTGGGGAGAAGGATGTGAACTCTAAACTTTGAATTTATATTATGAAACTTTAACCAGGATTCACCTGATCAAATGAATACTCCCCAGCATCCTTTAAAATAATCAAAGAGGTTTCTCACTGCAATGATAAGGGGGGAGCAGTGGGGAGAGGGTATGATGGTCCTTCTACTTGTAGTCATTATAACTCAGACTTTTTTTTGCATATTCCCTTATAGTCAATCCTCCCATCCTTGGCCAATAGAAACCCTTCAAACTGGTTCCCACACCCTACTGAAATCACCAATTAGCCTTTGATACCTTCCTTGCTTTCTGGTACAAGAAATTCCAGACTCACCCATCTAAAATACATTTCCCATCTCAGGCCTGGAGCTAGCTATTTCCCCCAAGGAAACTGTATGCATGATGCATGTGTATGAGGGAGGGAGGGAGGGAGTGGGTAGAAAGGAGGGAGAAGGAGAAGAGAGGGAGAAAAGACACCTTCCTTTCCACAATCAGGGTGTTCAATGTTAACTGAGTTTTTATTGTTTTCTAAGGTCTTTTCACTAGACAGATCTAGGACACGTATATTTTTTTTTTTAACAGAAAGAGCTTACTAAAAATTTAATTCAGAGTTTTAAAATAACATTTAAAATATTATGTTTATTTTTTCCTCTCATGTAGAAAAAAATCTTAATTCCTAGCCATACCAATGCAACTACTAATAATAAGACTGCTAGACATACTTAAAACTCTCAGCATTTTTCTGTGTGTGCCCTTAGAGTATATCTTATTGAGAATGCATAGTAAAATTTTTGTGTTGAAGTTGGAATAATTCTTTTTTTTAATTTTTTATTGTTGGTTGTTCAAAACATTACAAATTTCTTGATATATCATATTTCACACTTTGATTCAAGTGGGTTATGAACTCCCATTTTTACCCCATATACAGATTGCAGAATTACATCAGTTATACATCCATTGATTTGCATATTGCCATACTAGTGTCTGTTGTGTTCTGCTGTCTTTCCTATCCTCTACTATCCCCCCTCCCCTCCCCACCCCTCGCCTCCCCTCTTCTCTCTCTACCCCCTCTACTGTCATTCATTTCTCCCCCTTGTATTATTTTTCCCTTTCCCCTCACTTCCTCTTGTATGTACTTTTGTATAACCCTGAGGGTCTCCTTCCATTTTCATGCAATTTCCCTTCTCTCTCCCTTTCCCTCCCACCTCTCATCCTTGTTTAATGTTAATCTTCTTCTCCTGCTCTTCGTCCCTACTCTGTTCTTAGTTACTCTCCTTATATCAAAGAAGACATTTGGCATTTGTTTTTTAGGGATTGGCTAGCTTCACATAGCATAATCTGCTCTAATGCCATCCATTTCCCTGCAAATTCTATGATTTTGTCATTTTTTAATGCAGAGTAATACTCCATTGTGTATAAATGCCACATTTCTTTAATCCATTCGTCTATTGAAGGGCATCTAGGTTGGTTCCACAGTCTTGCTATTGTGAATTGTGCTGCTATGAACATCGATGTAGCGGTGTCCCTGTAGCATGCTCTTTTTAGGTCTTTAGGGAATAGACCGAGAAGGGGAATAGCTGGGTCAAATGGTGGCTCCATTCCCAGCTTTCCAAGAAATCTCCATACTGCTTTCCAAATTGGCTGCACCAATTTGCAGTCCCACCAGCAATGTACAAGTGTACCCTTTTCCCCACATCCTCGCCAGCACTTGTTGTTGTTTGACTTCATAATGGCTGCCAATCTTACTGGAGTGAGATGTTATCTTAGGGTGGTTTTGATTTGCATTTCTCTGACAGCTAGAGATGGTGAGCATTTTTTCATGTACATGTTGATTGATTGTATGTCCTCCTCTGAGAAGTGTCTGTTCAGGTCCTTGGCCCATTTGTTGATTGGGTTGTTTGTTTTCTTATTGTCTAATTTTTTGAGTTCTTTGTATACTCTGGATATTAGGGCTCTATCTGAAGTGTGAGGAGTAAAGATTTGTTCCCAGGGTGTAGGCTCCCTATTTACCTCTCTTATTGTTTCTTTTGCTGAGAAAAAACTTTTTAGTTTGAGTAAGTCCCATTTGTTGATTCTAGTTATTAACTTTTGTGCTATGGGTGTCCTATTGAGGAATTTGGAGCCCGACCCCACCGACTGTAGATCGTAGCCAACTTTTTCTTCTATCAGACGGCGCGTCTCTGATTTGATATCAAGCTCCTTGATCCATTTTGAATTAACTTTTGTGCATGGCGAGAGAAAGGGATTCAGTTTCATTTTGTTGCATATGGATTTCCAGTTTTCCCAGCACCATTTGTTGAAGATGCTATCCTTCCTCCATTGCATGCTTTTAGACCCTTTATCAAATATAAGATAGTTGTAGTTTTGTGGATTGGTTTCTGTGTCCTCTATTCTGTACCATTGGTCCACCCGCCTGTTTTGGTACCAGTACCATGCTGTTTTTGTTACTATTGCTCTGTAGTATAGTTTGAAGTCTGGTATCGCTATACCGCCTGATTCACACTTCCTGCTTAGCATTGTTTTTGCTATTCTGGGTCTTTTATTTTTCCATATGAATTTCATGATTGCTTTCTCTATTTCTACAAGAAATGCTGTTGGGATTTTGATTGGCATTGCATTAAACCTATAGAGAACTTTTGGTAATATCGCCATTTTGATGATGTTAGTTCTTCCTCTCCATGAACAGGGTATATTTTTCCATCTTCTAAGATCTTCTTCTATTTCTCTCTTTAGGGTTCTGTAGTTTTCATTGTATAAGTCTTTCACCTCTTTTGTTAGGCTGATTCCCAAGTATTTTATTTTTTTTGAAGATATTGTGAATGGAGTGGTTGTCCTCATTTCCATTTCAGAGGATTTGTCGCTGATATACAGGAATGCCTTTGATTTATGCGTGTTATTTTATATCCTGCCACTTTGCTGAATTCATTTATTAGCTCTAATAGTTTCTTTGTAGACCCTTTTGGGTCTGCTAGGTATAGAATCATGTCAACTGCAAGTAGTGATAATTTAAGTTCTTCTTTTCCTATTTTTATGCCTTTAATTTCTTTCGTCTGTCTAATTGCTCTGGCCAGTGTTTCGAGAACTATGTTGAACAGAAGTGGAGAGAGAGGGCATCCCTGTCTTGTTCCAGATTTTAGAGGGAATTCCTTCAATTTTTCTCCATTCAGAATGATGCTAGCCTGAGGCTTAGCATAAATTGCTTTTACAAAATTGAGGTATGTTCCTGTTATCCCTAGTTTTTCTAGAGTTTTGAACATAAAGGGATGCTGTACTTTGTCGAATGCTTTTTCCGCATCTATCAAGATGATCATATGGTTCTTATTTTTAAGTCTATTGATGTGGTGAATAACATTTATTGATTTCCGTATATTGAACCAGCCTTGCATGCCAGGGATGAATCCTACTTGATCACGGTGCACAATTTTTTTGATATGTTTTTGTATCTGATTCACCAGAATTTTATTGAGGATTTTTGCATCTAGGTTCATTAGAGATATTGGTCTGTAGTTTTCTTTCTTTGAAGTGTCTTTGTCTGGTTTAGGTATCAGGGTGATGTTGGCCTCATAGAATGAATTTGGAAGTTCTCCCTCTTTTTCTATTTCCTGAAGTAGCTTGAAAAGTATTGGTATTAGTTCCTCTTTAAAGGTTTTGTAAAACTCTGCTGTATACCCATCCGGTCCTGGGCTTTTCTTAGTTGGTAATCTTTTGATGGTTTCTTCTACTTCCTCAATTGATATTGGTCTGTTTAGGTTGTCTATATCCTCCTGACTCAATCTGGGCAGATCATATGACTTAAGAAATTTATCTATGCCTTCACTATCTTCTAATTTATTGGAGTATAAGGATTCAAAATAATTTTTGATTATCTTCTGTATTTCTGAAGTGTCTGTTGTGATATTGCCTTTTTCATCCCGTATGCTAGTAATTTGAGTTCTCTCCCTTCTTCTATTCGCTAGCATGGCTAAGGGTCTGTCGATTTTGTTTATTTTTTCAAAGAACCAACTTTTAGTTTTGTCAATTTTTTCAATTGTTTCTTTTGTTTCGATTTCATTAATTTCAGCTCTGATTTTAATTATTTCTTGCCTTCTACTTATTTTGCTGTTGTTTTGCTCTTCTTTTTCAAGGATTTTGAGATGAAGTATGAGATCATTTATTTGTTGGTTTTTTCTTTTTTTAAGGAATGAACTCCAAGCAATGAATTTTCCTCTTAGAACTGCTTTCAATGTGTCCCATAGATTCCGATATGTTGTGTCTGTGTTTTCATTAATCTCTAAGAATTTTTTAATTTCCTCCTTGATGTCTTCTATAACCCATTGATCATTCAGTAACCTATTGTTCATTCTCCAAGTGATGTATGCTTTTTCCTTCCTTCTTTTATCGTTGATTTTCAGTTTCATTCCATTATGATCAGATAAGATGCATGGTATTATCTCTACTCCTTTATATTGTCTAAGAGTTGCCCTGTGACATAATATATGATCTATTTTTGAGAAGGATCCATGTGCTGCTGAGAAAAAAGTGTAACTGCTTG